AACCTTGTTTATGTATTAGTTAGACAACCAGTTAAAGTCAGATTTTAAAATATGTACTAGACGGGGACTCTATTATAAAATCCTTGTCATCCTTATTTATACTACGAAAGGGTAACATGGATTTTATAGGAGTTTATAGGATCTAGTACTTTCTTTCCTAAGCTTGAGTGGTTGTCTAACTATATTATATATAAACAACGGTTTTAGGAGAGCTTAGACTGTCTGTGACTGGTGGCAGCACAGTCAACACTAGATCACAAAGAGATATGGTTTATTATGCATAATTTGTTTAATATGAGGGTGTTTATCCTCTGGAACGTACAAATATCAAAATTTGGACATGATTTTTGAGGAAAGTGTTACAGTAAACAAGAAGTTAATGCTTTAAAAATCATTCTATACTACTGTGCAGTGTTTTATCTTATTTATATTTGTACAAAATAAAAATACGTATTTCTGATTTCAAACTGAATTTGTGTTATTTGTGTATTGCAGTCTATTTTTTGAAATTTATGTAATATAAGAGGTTATGCTGTGGATTATGCCTTTACTGTGTAAACCAGTGAATGGAATATTTGCTGAAATCAATTTTTCAATTGATTAACGTTTTATTTATTAAGCAGTTAAAATTTGGGATGAGATTACAGTATAATTTAATTTTAATTTGCTCTTAAAACCAGTTACTGTTTTTTTATCTAGAATCCGTCAGAATGCATTATTAGACTTAACCTGCACCTGCAATATGAAAGTAAAAATTTGAGATCTCATCCTAAATAATGTCCTTGATAAAGACTTAGCAAACTCACAATTTCTTGTAATTCGATGGGAATAGTTGTTTTCAAAATGTTGCAGCTTTCTAAAAATTTTCGTATCAGTAAATATTTGTAACTTTAAAAAAAGACTATAATTAGACTCATTTACAAAGTGAACCCAAAGTTATAATGTGCTCACAATCAGAAGTAACTTCCAAAATTTTTAATCACACTTTAATTTGGAAATTTTATCCCCATTAAAATAGTGTCAATAATTGCCTTATATGTAAATATTTTATCTTAAATTTTTTGCATTAATTAGTTTCTATTTTTTTACTTTTTGTTTATTGCTAGGTCAACTAAACACTTTGATTTATGTTCCAATGGCATATAATAAAATTTTAATTAAAAAATATATCTTAAAAAGCAAAAGGATTTGAAAAAATTATTAGACACAAGTTGTTTTTGCCGAGTTAAATGCCTGGTTGTAATTTTGCACTTATTTCTGTAACGCTCTGTATATATACATTTAGGATTCACACATTTAAATTTCTATTTACACAATTAGAAAGGTATATGATCATTGTTTAATTATTAACTCTACTTTAACGACGGAGTCCTAACATTGAATAAATCTACCACAGTTTTAAACAAAAACATGTACTTATTTATGCTAAGTGGTTTTTCGTAATAGATCATTCTCAGTAAAAGAATTTGCAACCATTGTGGTACGAATACAGTTACCGCCAATTTTTTTTATTATACAACGATAAATAAAAATAATCTTAGTGAATTGATTAGTATCAGATGTATGTGAAATATTGAATAAAAAATTGAAAAAGTGTGATAGAATTAATCAATTGTTAAATAATCTAAAAGTTGAATCCAGGAAAAAAGTTTGTGTAGTGTTTCAAACCATTTTGTTTATTAAATGAATATTCCTAGAATTTCTTGATCTCAGTTACGATTTAGAAAATTTTTGTTCTTTGCTTAGGTACTACGGAAAATGTTTGTAAAATAAAAGTTGAAGTTAATAATTTGGTCCACAGTTGTCTTTATTACAGTGGAAGTACAGAGCCTCATAAATGTTTACAAGGCCCGTGACCGCTGAGCTTAGGCAACCCAACATTGCACCTAAATCTTGGAGTCACCAATATCAATGATTCGTTTACAATGAACAGTAACAAACTGTTTTGACTACTCTCGAGATAATGCCGCTGTGGTTGAATAGAATTTCAAGGAAAATTACACCAATCACAGCCGATGAAACAGAATGTTGTGTTTTAATGTAATCTAGATCTTATTGTTTTAATTTTATCGAAATTTGATTGCCCACTTGAAGGAAATAAAATTACTGTTCCAAAGTTCCTGGTCACGTAGCTTGTAATCATTTGTGAAGGTTCTGTAATAGTGTAACAAAGAATTAAATTAAATTTAACTGATTTTTAAAATTTTTCCACAGGTGGCAAAATACCTAAAAAATAAAGAAAGAAAAAACAAAATATGACAAATAAATAACTTCAGATAAATGAATTAAATGTTGAAAATTTCTAAATATAATATTTTTTGATTGTTGACTCGCATTTTGTATTGTCATAAGAGTAGTTATATTAGTTGATCACTTAATTGTGTCTCTTTTTTACACAATTTCTTGTTGTATATCTATTCCACCATTTATAATTGTGCCACTTCATTTTGAAATGTTTCATTCTCAGGAGCATACTTTTTTCAACGTATTTTACTTTCTTTTACACTAAATAACTGTAAGTAACAGATTATGATAATAGTATTGTTTTTAATAAGTTAAAAGAGTAAACTATAAATCATAAAAATCATTAAAGGTACTATATTTTTCAGCCTCAAAATCAAATTCAGCACAACTTTTTTAACACAATTTTTTACAATTATTGTTAATACCTATACAGGGTGTCCCAAAAGTGACGCCCGTCCTTCTGGGATTTGATTAAGGAGACAAAAACGAACCGAAAATCAAGAATGGAAAATTTTCCGATTGTCGAGTTATTCAAAAAATTATTTAAAAAACTAAAAAAGTGAAAATCCAATTTTTTTGTCTCAAAATTGAGGTCTGTGCTTATGGGGACCAAGACAAATAATTTATAACCAATAATAATAATATAGTTTCCGATTGTCGGTTGTACCTGGGTGTAAGGAATAATTTTAACCTGAAAAGGATAGAGAAAAACATTAAGAACAAAACAATTTTATAAAATGGAGAGGAAAAAAACCATAATGTGCTTAAATAATAGAAATTGTTTTTACAAAAGTTGTTCAAATAAGTTGCCTTCTACTGTAAGACAAAGATAGGCACGATTTAACATTGAAGCTTGAACCCTTAGCATCTCTTGGTCTATTAACGCGACAGGAGCGTGTATACAGGCTACTACATTTTCTGGATTTACAACAGGTTCACTGTAAATCTTTTCTTTTAAATAATCCCAAAAAAATCTAGGGGATTCAGATCTGGTGGTCCATATCTTCTAATCTGGGAAGTTTTGATTCAGATAATTTCATACTCGCAAACCATAATGTGATGGAGCTCCATCATGTTGAAACCAATAATTTAGTCTAACTGCTAACGGAACATCATCCAGCAATGGCAATGGTAAGTTTTCATTTAAAAACATACAGTTGCAGTAAATATCGCTCTGAACTACATAATTATTTAATAACCCAGCCCAAATGTTTATTTCTAGTTTTTTTGAATAATTTTTTTGAATAACTCGACAAAGAAAAACAATTTTCAAATTTTCCATTCTTGATTTTCGATTTGTTTTTGTCCCCTTAATCAAAACCCAGAAGTGCGGGCCTCACTTTTGGGACACCCTGTATATAAATTTTTTTCGGAAGCAACTAAATATCTATAAATAAAGTTGTTAATTTGTTTTTAAATAAAAAAAATAGGTATATATCAAATAATTCTTTACGGTTTAATACACTTGAGTAATCTGTAACAAATAAAATATGACATTAATTAAAGAATACGTAATAGATAGTGCTATTAATAAAATATACTACAAATTGTATGGTAGTAATAATTTATGACACTGGATTTAAATTTCCAGTAATTGTTGTTTGTATTTCCTATTAAACCAATTTTTTAACATTCATTAACACCAAGTAGAAAACTCTTTGTTTATCTTATATTTACTCAAAAGTACTTGTAACATTTTATTTTCAACGTTACCTATTTATGTTGAAAAAACTTATTATGGAATTAACTTATTAAAAATATTGTTAGAATAAAGTTCACAATATTATTAATTAGGTATTTTGCCATATGTGAAAAGAACAAAATTGAATAAACACCTACACCAAAAGGTGTGAGTCATTTATAAATATATTATTTGACAGAAGCATTTGTTGATATTTTTCTTTCCTGTTCCCATATGTTGCAGAATATCATTCACAATTATATTAATCGATAAATAATTTTAGGTAATATCTGTATTATTCAGTTTAATCAGTTATTATTTTTTATTAATTTATAAAATGCATTTTATAGTTATTTTGTAATTTTTGAGAAAGTTAACAGAATATTTTATATAAAATTTTTGTAGAAATAGCATTTCCAGTTCTTTATTAAATAAATATGTACATGACAAAAGATAAAAAAACATCAGTTTTGACATAGAAATGCACATCTCGATACACATAATGGTTTTTATCTTAAATATAAAAAATATAAGCAAGTCTGTAATTTTATTTTCAACATAAAATTGTTTTCTTCGAAAAATATCGTCAAAAGTAGACATTTTCATTAAATTTTCGGTTGACAAAGTGAGTTTTTTTTGTCATCTAGCTACAAAGTACCTTTATGTTCTAGAACACCAAAATCTTTTTCGTTCTAGAAATGCTTTTGCGTTTTCTAATGGTTTTGCCTCACTAAGCCCGGCAAAATAACTTTCACTATTGAACACAAAGGTACCATTTCACGTTCTAGTTACAAAAGTAACTATTTTTTTGTAACTGATATTTTTAGCATCTTTAGTAAGGAACAGTATATTAACATGATATTATCAAAAATGCTTTGTTCTTGGTATAGTTTTCAGTTTTTAAATACCTTTCGCGATAGAATACTTATATCTGTCAAATATTAACACTAGCCTGAAAGAACGGACTTGAGTACAAATATAATATTATATAGGTAATGACATCCTATCAAATAAGAAACAAAAATGTTTTTTTTAGAACATTACGTGTACAATTTCATGGTAAATGTTTTTCCAGGATTCAGTACTCTCGCCAGCATGTTTCATTCGCAATTTGCCATGGAAGATAATGGTGATGCCACGCAACAGTCACGCTCAGGACAGAACCTCCCAGAGGTCTCTGGGGTTCTTTCTTCAGTGCAATGGAGAAAGCGAGTCAAGTTCATGGTCATGTTATGCTGTTGCAGAATTACGACTGATCTCAGTAAGGCCTGATGTTGAAAATTTTTCGAGGAAAATTCAACACTTGTTTTATTCGAAGGTAAGAAACAAAGAATTTTATACTTATTGTAAGAATAATTGAGTCATCGTTCTTGAATTACATATTTCAATATTAGGGATTATTCTCGATTATCCCATTAGGGATAATCGAGAATAATCATAATTTTTCAAAGTTCCTCGTTATTTTTGGACTATTATGAACTTCATCAGTTTTTTTTTTTTTTTTCATTGTGAAGATAAGTGAATATTATGCACATAATTTTTTTTTCAGGTGAAAAATTTTCATCATTAAAAGTATTTCATTTTATTTTATTATTGGACTACCTTTAACTTTCAATCTCCTATCTCCTTCCATTAACTACATTAGTTGCCAACACACATTTTGTTTACATTGTACACACCTGCAAAAAATATGCAAATGCATGATAACAGGGTGAGCATATTACAATGTGGAACCAATCTGACAAACATTTTCTTATTCGGTGCTTATAAGTCAGCCTAATATGATATCACCCTCTTTGCTCCTGGTGACTTTAAAATGACATGTCGCTAAGTTATACAAAAGCAATCTGTTTTACCAAATTATTTGTCATTGTCATTTCCCACAATGTTTGTTGAATTAAAAACAAGTGGCAACGTTGATAATGCACTAATACGCAAATTCTTGGTGCCCTGGTTTATGTCGCTCTGTGGTGGCAGACACTAGAATTAAAGTGCATTTTAAAAAACTAATTATAACTTGACTATTTATTTGATTAAAAAAAAAAGAATTTCAGATTTGTATTCAGGGGAAAACGTACTATTACCCCTAAAAAACTAACCCCCACTTAGAGTTACACCTTGTACAACAGTGGGGATAGTGGAGACTCTAAGAGTCAAAGACGAGAAAATCATGCATAACAAGTTTTTCCAGTTTAAATAACCAAGTTTTATGCCGTGCATGTCAAATATTATGTTGAGAGCTAATAGTGCAATTTTTCCATTGTTCAGTTAGATTGTTTGTGAATTGGAGTCTAGGATTGTAAGGGGCAGTGGCGTAACTATACCATCTGGGGCCCGTGGCAAATTCTTTTGATGGGGTCCTATCAGTAAAAATAGTCACATTGTACTTAGTTTAATTTTAATAGTTATCCGACACTAATAACAATTTTATTTTCAAGAGCATGGGTTTATACATTTACAATGAAATAAAATTTGATTTCAATAAGATATTTATTAAGAAAAATCTTTTCTTCAAGCTTTCTGTTCCGCAAAAGTGTATAACATCATCAAAGTTTAAAGATAGGGCCATAGAATTTTCAATAGACAGAATAGCCAAGTTACTTAACCTGTCTTGTCCCATACAGTTTCTTAAATAGGTTTTTATTAATTTTAGTTTTGAAAATGATCGTTCAGCACTAGCTGCAGTCACAGGAATTGTAACAAATAACATTAATGCAGTGCATACTTCAGGAAAGCTGCAGGACATAAAATGATTAGTTATTATTAATAAATCAGCAAGGTCTCTAATACACGAAGACTTTTCTATTTCGTCTCTGAAAGTGGACTGAAAACTGAAGAATTTCCCTGGCAAATGATTCAGATATGTCTTTTTTATATATATCAACAAATTCTAGAGCTTTTTTTAATAGATCAATGTCATTTAAAATTTGTAAAGTTGAAGGCTGCAAAACACTGAAATTGGAAACAATTTCATTCATCGGAAGGAAACGCGATTTCAGTTGATTAATAATGATGTCCGATACTCGATAAAATATGTTCACTTTGAACAAACTTTCCGGATCTTGGAGACGCTCATCTTCGCAAAGTTTGTCAAAATGGCGTTTTACCTTCCTCTGATGAGTTTTAGAAAATTCAAGGGTGATGGACCATTTTTCTGCTACACTATTTGCTTCCATTTTTAAGTTTACAAATTCATGTTGATACCTTTCCAATTCTTCTAGACAAATTTTCAAACGTTTTAAGGCATTTGAAAGATCGGTGGCTTTAGACTGAAGTGCTTTAGAGGCTGCATCGGTAGTTTGTAGAATTTGTAGAATGGAAAACCAATAACATAATAAAATTGTAGTTTTCAATCTACTTCTTGAGTAAAACAGCTTCATTTCTTTCATCTGATTTGCAATTTAACAGAATTGTTTTTGTTAGCGCTTTTTGGACTTCAACAAACCAAACATTTAAAGCAAAAAGAGCATCATAATGTCCTGCCCGTCTAGTAGGGTTTAATGTTATTGAAGTTGAAAACTCCCTTTCTTTATTAGATATAAAACTTTATAAAATATTCCATCTTTTGATACTATGCCCAAAAAAATTTAAAAAATATACTTTTCAAGTAAAATAAAATACTCGGGTACAATGTTAAAAATTTATTTCTGAGCTCGCGGCCTCTTGGGTCGGGGGCCCGTGGCATTTTGCCTGCCCTGCCACCCTATAGTTTCGCCACTGGTAAGGGGATGAATAGTAAAATTTTTTTTTTCATCGAAGTTGATGGAGAAGAATTATGTTTCCAAATGCATTAAGGAATTGTAATTTTTTCTATAAATTTGCCCAATGTTATTACTGATAGTTATTTGTTTTCTAATGCTCTCAGTTAGATTTTGAGATAATCATATTTGTTATATTTTTCATTCACTGAGATATATATAACAGATAAAATTTAAAAAATTGAATTATGTGAAAATGTACTTCATTTATTTTACTCATATCCTTAGATGGTTTGGTATCAATGGTCCTCATTTGCTGGCCGGTTAGGTCATCAGACCTGAAACCATTAATTACAATTTTACTTAAACCTAATCAACAAACTACAAAAAAAAATAACCATGCTCTATGAACACAGTCGATACAATTAAAGGAAATTAAGAGCCAGTGTCATTGCAACAAAAAAAAATGGAGTTTCTAAGTAAGTATCACACTGTAGAGACCTGATTTCAATAATTCCAAACGGTAATTTGTAAATTTAAAAAAAAAAAGGTGAATGTACTGAATTCGATTGGAGTATCTTAAAAAATGAGTAAAATAAATGAGAATATTGAACAAAATAAAACTTTACTTTCATCTCTAAAACGAATCATTTTCAAACCTACATTCATACGAACTTTTTTCTTATTTTTGGTCAATCATCTGCAGAATTTTGTCAATAGAGCATTGCAACATCTGTATTTATAGGAAAACGACTGGGGTTTCTCACATTTTATGGCATGGAATGATGTTTTGGACCCAGAAAAAGGATACATAAAGGATGACGCCATTACTTTGGAAGTTCAGGTGGTGGCAGATGCTCCCCATGGTGTTTCATGGGACAGCAAAAAACATACTGGTGAGTCACCCAGTTTCATTTATTTTTTGTACAAGCAAGTTTGAGAATTATTTGTGGTTTTGGTATTTTTGGTCTAAATTCCAAACCTCTATTGTATCATTTCTGTTGTTTATTTGTAAAAATATATTTTCTTGATTATCGACAGGTTATGTTGGCCTAAAAAATCAAGGTGCGACTTGTTACATGAATTCGCTCCTTCAGACATTGTACTTCACAAACCAACTGAGGAGAGCTGTGTACAAGATGCCCACTGAGTCGGACGATTCCACGAAATCCGTTGCTCTGGCTTTACAGAGGGTGTTCCACGAACTGCAGTTCTGTGATAAACCGGTCGGTACGAAGAAGCTAACGAAGAGTTTCGGTTGGGAAACTTTAGATTCATTTATGCAGCATGACGTCCAGGAGTTCTTAAGGGTATACTTTAGCGATATAAGTTAATGTGGTTAATTTTCTATATTTTTTATGTGTTGCAGGTGCTATTAGATAAGTTGGAGAGTAAAATGAAGGGTACTTGCGTTGAGGGTACCGTCCCGAAATTATTTGAAGGCAAAATGATTTCGTACATCAGGTGTAAGAACGTCGACTACTCTAGCACCAGATCTGAAACATTTTACGACATACAGCTGAACATTAAGGGGAAGAAAAATAGTAAGTAACTGTATTTGATTTCATAATGATAATAATAAAGTTCATTATTGGTTAAAATAAATGTAACCAAAGGGCCATCGATTCATGATCTTCATCCTGTCTTTAAATCATTTTTTTAGATTCAAATTCTTGTAAAACAAAAAATCGCAAATTTGTATTCAAAAATAAATAAATATAAATATGGAAAGTAATGAAATTGAGTTAAAAATATACAGGGTATTCAGCTACTAATTTGCCAGACATTACCGATAGATTCTATGATAAAATTAAGAGGGTTCAAATAAGTTTTGTTAAAATATGTTTTGGTTCTGAGATATATGGTGCTGATAAAATTTTGTTCTAACTTGACATGGAATGTACAATTTTATGTACAAACTTCATTATTTGGAACCCTATATAAAAAATAAATGTCGTACCACTAAATCAGAAATAATTACATTTATTAGAGTGGCCCAAAAAAAAACAAATATTTTTTTTCGTGTATTGTGAAAGTATGTTAGTTTATCATGTTTTAAGAGCCCCCTCAAAAAATTAGCTCAAAAAAAATTATTTTAGAGGTTGCTCAAGATTTTTTCCAAAATCGTCAAAAAATTTAATTTTTTTTTTTAATTTTTTTTCTCGCTATTTTATCATTTTCTACGTTGAAAAAATCTCGATTCTGAAAATTTTTTTTATTTAATTTGATGCATAAAAGAATAGAAATAAGTCACGAGACAAAAATGTCTCGAGGCAAAATTTACTACCGCACTGTTAATAATAATAAAAGAAAATTATTAGTTCATTGATATTTATTTTTAGAGGTCGCTCGAAAACAGGTAGAGATGTTTTAAAATCTTATGAGCTTTGACCTTCACATGCGCAGAAACATAATTCCGACCGTCGCCTAAATTATTATCGATTTGAAATTTTCAGAATCGAGATTTTCTTCAACTTAGAAAATGATAAAAAAATAAAAAAAAAAAAAATTTTTGACGATTTTGGAAATTTTTAAAAATCTTCAGTGACCTCTAAAAAAATTTTTTTGAGCTCATTTTTTGAGGGAGCTCTTAAAACATGATAAACGAACATATTTTCACAAGACACGAAAAAAAATATTAATTTTTTTTTTTTTTGGGCCACCCTAATAGTTATAATGATGGGAGACACAGAGAGTGAATAAAATATCCAAAATCAGCAACCAGCCGCATTAAAAAGTATCCATCGAATATTTAAAATTACAAATTTTTCCCCTATTTCAGTAATTCCTTTCAATTTACTATTTATAGTTGCAATTTTTTATTTTTTTTTCTTATATGGACGTTAAATAAGTTCTCGCTGTTTTCCAAAATATTACGTTACCTGAACTGCAAGCTTGTAGTTTACGATGGTAACGCATCTAGAAAGAAGTACTGTAAGCAAGCTTGAAATACAGTATGTTATTTCGCAGAAGTGTAAACTACTTTTTTTTTATGCTGCTAAATTTTACTGCACTCCTTTATTCAAAAGAAATCTGCAACTGAAGCACACAGAATTCTTGTTGAGCTTATGACGACCATCCCTAGCGATGGACAATCCTTTCATTGGAATGTTTTTTACAAAATTTTTTAATTAAAGCATTAATTTTTAGAAAAAGACACAAAGAACTTATTCATTATTCCACTAAATAACAGATCAGTATTGCACATGATGTTGAAAGATTATGCACTTCTTGAGCGATAGGTGCATGCCAACTTTCAACACCATCAGCAATAGTACTTCAGTAAGTCGTCAGCCTGTAAGCGGAGGTTTCGCACGCATTTCAGCTTGCTGAACCCTATAATTTCCTATAAAATTGTATGGGTTCACGTTTGCAATGGACACAGCTCCACAAAAAAAATCGAGAAAATTACCCCTGCAGTCTGTCTCTCATATGTTTTCCGGATCGCTGAATCCAAATGTGGGCTCCATTTAACCCCATCACATCAAGATTTTTCATAACTTCAAAAAATAGTCCCAAAAACGCAATAAATCCTCTATCCATTGACCACTAAATCTCAATAACCCCATAACCTCAAAATGCCATAACCCCAACACCCGGTAAGAAAGAGACTTACGCGCTTTGAAGTCCTGAAACAGTATATTCGAGCCACACGTGCTTCTTGAGCCTTAAACCCACATTCTTCAATAACCCTATAACTCCCAACCCGATGAGAAAGAGACTTTTGTTGGGAGAACCTACGTTTTCCCGAACTGAGGAGCAACGACGAGTAGATGGTACGCTTCTGTTCCATTCGGGGTGTTTATTAACGTGTGTTCCCCTTGCCTCACGCTTTTCGGGGTGCTTTATTAAAGTGTTCCCCCCTTGCCTCACACGAATAGCAATGATGTTCGAAGATTTGACTCATAAAAGTTTGTACAGAAGGCTATTCTTTACTGGATTATGAGGTTATGGGGTTATTAAAGAGTATAGGCTAGCATATATAACATACTATATCTACACATCCCCCAAAATTTTGTCTCCGATTTCCAACCCTGAGGGTTCTTCTATAAGAGATAAGAGATCTATTTTCGTTGGTCTAGGTTTAAGGCTCAAGAAGCATGCACGGCTCGAACATACTTTGTTTCAGGCAGGGTTCGTAGCGGCCGGGAAAACCGGGAATACCGGGAAAAGTCAGGGAATTCGTTATTCTTCATAAAAAACAGGGAATAGTCAGGGAATTTTAAAAATATTCATGAAAGTCGGGGAATTTGATGTTTGCAACTGGAAATTTTGTGAAAGCCGGCCCTGTGTTCTTGAAAGAGAAAACTATTTGTGGTTTTGAAACCTTTATAAGAGGTTCTTAGGGGATAAAAAAGATTATGGAGTCCAGTCGAGGAAAAATTTAATGCATAAACACCAATTAGTATGTAAAAATGAACTACAAGTGACCTGGATTTTATTTTTATAAGTCAGGGAAAACCTGGAAAAGTCAGGGAATTTTTCATTACTTTTGAACTATGAACCCTGTTCAGGGCTTCAACGCGCAAGTCTCTTACCGTGTTCTGGGATTTTGGAGTTATGGAATTTTGAGGTTATGGGGTTATTGGGAATGAGTGGTCAATGGATAGGGGATTTATTGCCATTTTGGGCCTATTTTTTGAGGATATGAAAAGTTCTGACATGATGGGGTTAAATGGACCCCGAATTTGGATTCAGCAACCTTGAAAATATGTGATAGACATAGTCAGACTCCAGGGGTAATTTTCTCGATTTGTTTGTGTGTTAAAATAATAGTATACAATTCTTTTTCGTGTGAAGTCATATGTATCCAGTGAAATTTTTATAAAGGAGACTCATGGCATCAAAAAATTGCATTGCCAGTAACGTCAGTTTTTTTGTATTTTTGAAAATAAATGCTATTGCATGTTAGTATCGCCCAAAATTGTTCACAAAAATACCCTGTCAGGTTTTGGTGATGTGTAGCTTTGTATGGTCAGCGAAGAATGTGTTAAACTTAAAAGGGTATTAAGGATGTTATGGGATAACAATCTTGGTCCATGTACAACTTTCGGGCCAAGTATATTGTATTGTATTATACCTTAATTGCTGAAATAATATGTACTACAAATTCAACAAAAGGATGAAATTTAATTAGACGAGGATACTTCAATCTATTCAGCAGTCCGTAATTCACAAATGTAGTTAAAATATTGATATCCATTTTTCTCTAAAACGGTGAAAAGTAATAGTAATATGAAACAAGTGATCTTTCCATTTCATAAAATACATTTCTATGCAAAAAAAATTATATGAGAAATACTTGTAAACAGCACTGTTTCAGGAATTCTCAGCGAGCTCTATTTTTATGTAATAAATAAGTATACATTCATCTTCAGCTCAATAAAGAAATTCTATCAAACTTCATTGAAACTTAAGAACTGATGGAGTTATCTTAAAAAATGAATTAACGTAATATTTTGAAGGCCTTTAACTTTTGTACGGAAGCAAAATTGTACTTAGTTAATTAAATTGACCTAAATCATTTCAGTTACATCCAAGAAAATTACTCTTGAAGTTTGACAAATTAGTTCTGTACACCCTGTATATAAAAAATAAGCCATTAAAAAAAATATTATTTAATTTATGAAATTTAGAATGATTAACAAAAATTTAATTAGCATAGTATTAAGCAAACAAAAACATTTTTTTTTTTCAGTTGATGAGTCATTTAAAGATTACATTGCAAAAGAAACCCTAGACGGTGACAACAAATACGATGCCGGAGAACATGGTTTACAGGATGCTGAAAAGGGGGTAATTTTCTCGGCTTTCCCACCCGTATTGCACTTACACTTGATGAGGTTCCAGTACGACCCCATCACTGACAGCTCAGTGAAATTCAACGACAGGTTCGAATTTTACGAGAAGATCTCCTTGGACAATTACCTGCAAGAACGTGATCCCAGTAATCCCGCTAACTACACCCTCCATGCTGTCCTGGTTCACAGCGGTGACAATCACGGCGGTCATTATGTCGTTTTTATCAATCCCAGAGGTAAATCGTTACGAAAACTGTTAAAATGGCACTAGTAAAAATAATGACGAGGGATGTTTTCAAGGCAGCGAACTCTAACGATTCTGTTTATTTTTTAGGGGATGGCAAGTGGTGTAAATTTGATGACGATGTGGTATCGCGGTGTACGAAACAGGAAGCTATTGAATACAATTACGGTGGACATGACGAAGACATGAACATGACGGTGAAGCACTGCACCAACGCCTATATGTTGGTCTATATCCGTGATTCGGAGTTACACAATGTTCTTCAAGAGGTAATTCTATGATAATTAAAAAGTAATATTGATTCCAATATGTTTAATGTTTGTAATTCAATGTTTTGTAATTCGTTGAAGCAAATGAGTAATGTTTGCTCTTAAATACGAGGTATTTTCTTGGAAAAACTTCAGAAATGTCATATTTAAAATGTTCCCCTTGTTTTTTAGTGAACTTATTTTGATACAAGTTTATTATGTTAATATACAGGGGTTATACACCAGGAAAATTAGCAAAAATAAAAGAGAAACTCGAAAAAATTCCTATCCACGATATTGTAAAATTGTCTAAAGGAACATAACACAAGACATCTCTCATCTCATGAGTCAAAAAATTTTAATAGCTAACTTTTCTATTTAAACAAATAAGTGAAGAAAACAGTTTTTTCAGTTTGCAGGGAAAACCATCAATTTTAGCGAAAAGTGACTCACAGCTTTTGGGGAGTAAAATTATCTACAAAATAAGACTTGTTAAATTAAAATCGGTTAATAAACAAAAAAGTTATTGCAAGAAAACAAGAAAAGTACCCATTTTTTAATTTGTTTATAACTATCGTATTTATGTTAAACTTTTATAAAACTTACAAGTTGAGGGTTTTGTCATATTTTAAAAGTGTGCCAAAAGTGGGCGCTGTAGGCGCAATGGTTTTCGCACAATTCAATTTGTTTGTGTCAGCAAGTTGCGTGCGCTAGAAAAGTGAAAACCAAAGTTCAAATTGATGTGAGCTATAAAATTTTGCAATATCTCGGCTTCTATTCATCGTAGAAACTTTTTTTTTTTTAACTGCGAATTTGTAGAATAGCCAAGCCCTGAACCCCAGCAAAAATGCATCTTTTATACTGAATTTTTTTTAATTTACAAAAATGTCAAAAATTATTGTTAAACGAAATATTAATTAAAATTTCAATTTCGGAATTATTTTACTATTATTAAATAAATAAATGAAGCTATCGTTCATTTAAAAAGTTATTTCTTTTACATATTAAGGCAAAGTAAACTTGTTTTTTCAATATTTTGTTAGCTATTTAATTACGATTTAAATGTAAAATTAAAGTAAAAATTCACAAATTATTTTCAAATTATTATTTATTGTTAAAAGATTTAAAAAAGAATAAAAAGCATTTGAATTTATTGCAAAATTCTCAAAATTAAAAAATATTAAAAATAACGCGGTCGATAAAATTACAATTTTAACTTCCTGAAATTTTAATATATAAAGTTTTTTTATTATATTTATTACTAATTTTATAAACATAATCAAAATTAATTCAAAAAATATTAATCACAACCATTTTCAATAATAGATATAAATAATGCAATATAATACAATTTAAAATTTAAATTTTTTTCTATTTTTATGAGAAATAATAATTGAAAATAATTTGTGAATTTTTACTTTAATTTTACATTTAAATCGTAATTAAATAACACAAAATATTGAAAAAATAAGTTTACTTTGGCTTAAAATTCTTGTATTTTTGCAATAAATTTTTTGTTTATCAACCGATTTTAATTTAACAAGTCTCATTTTGTAGATAATTTTACTCCCTACAAGCTGTCTGTGAGTCACTTTTCACTAAAATTTATGGTTTGCCCTGCAAAGTGAAAAAAACTTTTCCTCACATATTTGTTTAAACAGAAAAGTTAGCTAATAACATTTTTTGACTCATGAGATGAGAGATGTCTTGTATTATGTTCCTTTAGACAATTTTACAATAATATCGCGGATAGGACTTTTTTCAAACAGTAATTCAAGAAATTATATATTTGTATAATTATTGTTTTGTTTTCGCATGTTCGCCTCCCATTGGGGGTCATGTTGGCACATTGTGTTATCAAGTTGCTGTCGTTGCATATTTGATCGTTTTTTTTTTTAATCCGAAAATACGTGTCTTAAAAATTTTGTTGTTATCGTGATTCAATAGCCCTGAAATTGAACTTAAGGTTTCAATCCTGAATACAATCCGTTTGAGGTCCAGGTAGCGGAGTAACCACAAAGTCGCCTAACTAAGCCGCAGATTCGGTTCCAGTCAGTTTGCTAATTTATGCCATCTCATTTCCCTTTATCTCTTGTTGAATGATTTCTGGGCTGGTTGCCACGTCATCGATTTACAACTTTTGACGTTTCGAGAGACATATCGCTCTTTTCTTCAGAAGTTACTCTGAAACTGGAGATCTACTAATTTTGTCACTATTTATATTTGATGTGGTCACTAATCCATGACGTTCCGGTGGGTGACCTCGTACGCGTTGTTGACGTTCCAGTGGGTTGCTTTCACGGACGACTCTCTTCCTTATACCTGGCAAATCCACGCCACGATCCGTGTTGAAATTGTTCGGATTTTTGTAAATTTCTAATGCTTTTCTGTACAGTCGGGACCAAAATCTTCTCTCTCACCACCATGTTCGCCTCACTCAGATCCACGGTATGTCCCGTGTCCGCCCTATGCTCTGCTACTGCCGATTTTTCCCAGTTGTTATTTTTGTGGTGACTTTTGTGTTCCTTTAACCTCGTATTGATGTGCCTTCCTGCTTGTCCTATGTAGACCTTTCCGCAGGAGCAAGAAATACCGTACACACTGGCACTCTAGAGCTGGTCTTTGGAAACGCTGCCGCCACCTTCTTTACAGTGTTGAATACTGTGTTGATATTCCTCTTCTTCAAAAGACGCCCTATTTTATCTGTACAACCTGTCACGTAAGGTAGATACGTCGTCACTAAGTACTCCCGTTTCTCCATGACATACGCATGTCTCCTCCTGATAGCTTGTAGGAGACATATGCAATGAAAATTGCAGATTGCTGAATTCTTATGTATTAAAAGCTGCAGGTGGTTTTTTCTCTTGCGCCGATCTCGAAAAAGGGTCATTTTCCATTATCAAAGGCTTTTTTCCAGTCGTGCATCAACCCGCCGTCCTTCCTTTGTGGACTAAGGGTATTTTGATGGAGGCATTTCCGCATTTACCTAGGTAAATTTTCGTTTTTCTGCAGCTCCTCCGCGAAAATGACAAATTTTCGCTGTGGGAGAGAGACGAAACCCGATGGGAATGCCCACTGTCGAAACTCCGGAATTGGGCTGAATGAGAGGCAAACATTACTGCGATAGGTTGTTATTTTACCGTTTGAGGCCCTTGGGGATGATATATCAATAAAACATTTGAAATTTTGAGTTTACGCCTACGGAGACCCAAACTTTTAAATAACCCGTACAGGCTCCACCTACCGAGAGGCCGTCGTAGCTCAGTTTGTAAGCTTTATTTGTTTGTAAGCGTAATTTATTGAAGCCGTGCCCCAACAAATTGGTCTCCTGGTGTTCCTTAATACCGAAATAAAATAAAGGCAAAATCTTTGTTACGATGTGCAATTCGAACAACACTGACTGAGGTAAAATAAATCTAAAAATGTTCCATTATGATGCACGATACTTCTGCGTTGAGGGTTCAAAGCTAACTGACTTTACACTGAAATTAAATAAAGTAAAAAAGTTACTACAAGCGACGTTTTACAGTTGAAGTTCTAGAGCTAATTGACTGGAATATCGAAATTCCATGACTTTTATAACAAATCTTGCATATGCGCTCTACGGGCGTGACCTCACAGAAATAATTCGACGACGGTTAAATTCTGATGACACATTATGGAAGGAAAATTACGATTCTTGAATATGGCGAGCAAAATTCCACACTTAGGTGACTTTACATATCTTCTGAGAAGATAAGCAAAAAGTAAAATTGTCTCGAGTTTTTAAGGAAAAAGAATATTGAAGGACGAAAGCTGTGCTTCAGTATTTTGGTCCATTTAAGAGATACAGAGCGTTTTTCATTTTTGATGATATTAAATGATTAAATCTTGTGAATACTTTCAGTTTTCTCGAGTTTTTTATTTAATTTTTTAATTTTTAGTAGAATTCAATGATTATGTGCTATTTTTCTACAACTTCTGGTTTTTCAGTTATAACCTAAACATTCTTATGTATTAAACGCTGCAGGGCACTTCCGCTCCGGCACTCGCTTTCTGAAAGAGCCATTTTACTGCGCAAAAGGCTTTTTCAATGGGTCCTTTGGTCCTTCTTGTGTGTCTGCGTAGTATATTGATGTCTACTTTTCCCCTTTTTCTTAGCTAATTTTCCATTTTAAAAAAGGGTCCTCGCCCAAATTGAACAATGTTTTGTGGGAGAAGGATTCCCAAAGGATATCCGATGTTTAGACAGTGCCTTTGGGCACGTTTTCTGAACCCGTTAATTAATTGTGATTTTAAGGCAGCGATGAATGCATTAAATTTAAGGGAAACATTCGTGTAAAACAGCCAACCAGTGATCATTTCTAGCATTGATGATCTGAACTGTTTCTTCTATTGTAAAATTCAATCATTTGTATTTTAGGTTACTGAATCGGACATCCCTAGCGAATTGGCAGACAGACTGGCGGAAGAGAAGAGAATGGAGCAGGTGCGCCGCAAGGAACGGAACGAAGCCCACCTCTACATGACAATAAACGTTCTCCTGGAGGATTCCTTCGACGGTCATCAAGGGAATGACCTTTACGACCCGGAGAGGGCTCTGTTCAGGGTCTTCAAGATTAAGAAGATGGCCACGATCGCCGAAATGATGGAGATGCTGGCAGATGCCTTCAAGTACCCGCCAGAGCAGATCAGGCCATGGCCTTTCAGCCAGAGGTTGTAGTGTTTTAGATGTTTAACTTTTTGTTTTACTGAGAGCTTGTGTGGTGCTTGTTGAATGAGGGATGAATCGGAACTTACTTTGATGGTTTTAATCCACCTAAAATATTTTTAGTTCAGTTAGGTGTGTCCATCACTGATTTTCAGATATTTCGTATAAATATTTATTTTAATAATGTGAAGTTTGAGTGTCCGAAATTGAAATCTCCAAAAAATGATTTATTTATTAAAACATCTTTAAAACCTTTCAATGTAAATAAGGTCTCTTTCCTTTTTAATAATTTTCTTCTAAAGATTTTTATAAAATATTTGACACATTTTTGATTTTCTATAGGTTTATACAAAAAAATATAATAATTTCACATAACCTTATCGAATGACATAGTTTCTAGAAGTGTGCATATTATAACAATTTTTTCTAAAAACAGTAAATACAGGATGTCCCAAAATTAATGGGACACAGAGCAAGAGCAGATTCCTTACATCGAAATATTGAGAGGTGGTTAGACTTATCTAAGTCCATTTGTGGATAATAAAAAAGTTACAGGGTGTTACAGTTAAAATTTTGAATTAAAAATTCTTAAAATTTTTAGAAAGTTCTCAAAAAATTGAAAATTTATATTAGAGGCAAAGTTGCCTCTAAGCCGCGCACTAGTTTTACGAAAGTTGTGCAGCCATTTTTGTATTCTGCGCACAATGGGCTTGTTTTTAATTTCATTTTATAAAAGAATTGCATCTAAAAATGGCAAAAATCCAAATTTCACTAAAAAACAGTAAAATTTAGAGGGTCAAAAAAATTTTGAACATTTTTGCACCCATATATTTTTTTACCGTGCAGTCGGCGAAAAAAATTAGAGGGAACATTGTTCGGGGGTTTTCTGAGTCCAGAAAAATGAATTTGGACTTACTGTGCTGTAGACGCTAGAGGTTGCTACAAAATACAGGATGTTTTTAAATGAAGTAGCAACAATGGTACCAGTGAATATAGAGTCAAAAATAAGAGGATTGAAGTAAAAATACCTTATATGAAACTTGCACCCCTGAGGCGATATACCCTCTTGAAGGAGGAGATTGAAATTCACATTTTATTTTTTTTCTTTAACATGAGCACTGCTGGAGACACGAAACTTGGTATGAGCATTCTACTAATAAAGAGACAACTTTGCAATATTTTTTTCGCCCATTGGGGTATTTTATAAAGGAGTGAAACAGTCAACCCTATTGCAATATTTTATTAAAAATTTTTTATATGAAGCAAATTATTTATTTAAAAATATTTATTGGGAAGACTGATTTATTGTGCAACTTTTTTACCTCTTGTAATTTTTCGATAAAACCGATATTTTTCTTGTAAAAAAAATTAGATGCGTCATCATTCACTAAAGGGGTAATTGCGAAAATTTGTAAAAATAAAATAGGCGGGTGTTATAACAAATAAATTGTTATTTATCATATTAATAAATTGACACTTTCTGTCAATAAGCTGGTAATTTAATAACATTGAGAATAATTTGCTATTAATTAATGAAAAATGTCTGATTACTTATGACTATGGCACATGTATTAGGTAAAGTTATTTATCTGAAATAAAATTAATACAAACGAAAAACGAGAAATGCAAAATTAAATTTAAAGAATATTCTCGAAATAATTTCCATTTTGCTGCAAGCATAACCTAATACATCTGTTGAAGTTATAAAGCACTTGCAGAAACAGTTCTTGGTTATTGCATAGGTCATCTGCTGCCTGAAATATTCTTAGGCGTAGTTCTTCTAAGGAGGCAACAGGAGTTGCATAAACAATACTTTTTGTGTTCCCACAAAAAAAAATCCATAGGCGTTAGGTCAGGTGAACGTGCAGGCCAACAAACAGGGGCCTCACGACCACGACCAATTCAGCGATACAGGTAATTTAAATTTAACCATTCTCTAACGACAAGTGTACTATGTGTAGGCGCCCCATCGTGCATATACCACATCACCTGATGTGTGGCGAGGGGAACATCCTCAAGTAATATTGAAAGATTTTCGTTATAAAATCTAAGATACTCGTCCGCTCCAAGCATGTGTGGAAGAATAAAAGGACTTACTAGAGTATTTCCTACAATTCCCATATAAACGTTTAAACTGAAATTATGTTGACATCTTGAAACAAATATTTCATGAGTATTTTCTTCCGACCATGAAAGGACATTATGAAGGTTTACTGCACCTACTCTAGGAAAATTTGCTTCATCGGTAAAAAGTACATTCATTAGGAAATTTAAGTCATGCCTGGAAATATTAATGTACCATTGACAAAAATTGACGCGGTTAGGTAAATCAAGGTCATTCAATTTTTGCACGGGTTGATGGTGAAAAGGGTATAAAAGATTTTCATGGACTACATTCCACACAAGACTGTGAGAAACTTGCAGTTATCTGGACACCTGTCTTGTGTTTGTACCACAGTCTTGTTCTAGATGTTCCAGTATAGCTTCTTCAGTTTCAACAGTTCGGACATTACGCCTTCTTCTGGCACCCTCACGATTGGGCTGAATTTTACCAGTTTCGCGAAGCCTTCTTTCCACCGAGGCCAATGTTTGTCTATGAGGAATCGGTTGGTTTGGATATCTTTGGTGGTATAATCTTACTGCAGAGTTACTATTTTTTCTGGATTTGAAAAACACTTGGAGCATGTCGACATAATCGTCATTGGTATAAATATTATTTGCCATAATTATTCTGATAATAGTAGTGCTAGCTTCAATTTATTTTCACTTCTGTGGGCGTCGCGGGGTTACAAGCTAAATTATATATAAAATTGAAGCTTATATCTCACGGGATCAGAATCCGAAGGTAATAAAAAAAATAACGCAGGCAGAAGGGCAGTAAAATCAAAAAACGAGTGATCACAGGCGGATAATCCAGCACATTGGCTATAATTCTCTATAAAAATCAACTTATATTTTGTACAGCATATATTTTTTATCAGTTTTTGAAAGTTGCTCTTAATGTTGAGTCTTATGGTAGAAGAAATTTTTAAACTGGAATATCTCGGTTTGAACATGTCGAAAATCTTCCTGAAATTCAACATTTTTTTAGTTCCTATGCCATTTATCGGAAAACGAAGACCTTAATCGAAAAATTTTACTCTTGCAAAAAGTTTCTTTCATCAATTTGAAAGAAAACAGCGTTTAATTCAAAATTTTTGCTTCAATAATAAACAATATATGGATAAAAATATAAAATAAGTTATTTTTCGACCGGAGGGCGGACAGCTGGCTGCTTCGCGTCCTCGCTTTGCCACAGTCGCATCTGTCTCACAAATTTTCGCAATTACCCCTTTAGTGAACGATGACGCATCTAATTTTTTTACTAGAAAACTATCGGTTTTATCGAAAAATTACAAGAGGTAAAAAAGTTGCGCAATAAATCAGTCTTCCCAGTAAATATTTTTAAATAAATAATTTGCTTCATATAAAAAATTTCTAATAAAATATTGCAGTGGGGTTGACTGTTTCACTCCTTTATAAAATACACCAGTGATCAAAATGCTCATACCAAATTTCGTGTCTAGCATTCCTCATGTTAAAGAAAAAAATTAAAATGTGAATTTCAACCCCCTCCTTTAAGAGGGTATATCGCCTCAGGGGTGCAACTTTCATATAAGGTATTTTTAATTCAATCCTCTTATTTTTGGCTCTACATTCACTGGTACCATTTTTGCTACTTCATTTAAAAACACCCTGTATAGTCTTGGTTGATAAAAATAGGTCATAACTTTTTTCTCAGAAGTAACATTACCCACCTGTCACTCACCGATCGGAATGAAATTTGGCGCATCGATAGAACTCTAAAAAATATCGAAACTGTATTTTTTTATTTTCTCAAAATTCGCTTTCAAGGGATAGAAACCACCCCTAGAAAACAGTAAGAGCGAAAATCTCCATAAATGAAATAAAAAAAAATACATATTTATCAACCAAACTCACTCACCCTATCCACCCAAACCAACTAACTCTCACTCCAAGCCTACCCCTCTCCTAAACTAATCGACCCCTTTACCCCAACATCAACCCCCTGCCCAACACTGCAACACACAATTTCTAGTAAACAGGTAAGATAATAATCTTTACCCCTCATTCTAATCTCCTTGATTAGCCCAGAAGTGCGGACTTGTGCGGAAGATGGTGTGGCATGTTATTACTCTTTAGGCCACATTTGCACTCAGTTTTAAAATCCATTTTAACAATATCGTATTGTGACTAAGTAAAGGGTCGACAAACGTAAGGTCAAGGATATGAACTGAAACTTAAGAAAATAAATAATAAGTTTTTTCAAATATATAACTTTTTTTTTGGTTTTAGATCAAATCAAACAGTACGGCCGAGCGTACTGGACCTGGAAGCGGACCTCCACAAAACCGTAATCGATGCCGCAGAGAACATGAACCCCTGGAACATTTTCCTTGAGTTGTTGCCCCCAGATTCCGGGCAAACAGCTCTGCCCACATTTGATAAGGAGACGGATGTGTTGCTGTTCTTCAAAATGTACGATCCTAAACAGAAGAAAATCCACTATTGTGGCCACAGTTACCTGCCAGTGACCAGCAAACTTAGTGACATCATCCCCTTATTAAACGAGAGGGCCGGGTTCCCTCCTGACACAGAACTGTTGCTCTACGAAGAAATTAGGCCAAATATGATAGAGAAGATAACCAACTTTAACGATCCGTTAGAAAAGGTAATTTTAGCTTTTTTTTCTTCAGTTTTTTTAAAGCCTTTTACTGTCATTTTTATGATACTATTTATTTCAGTATATTTTTTTTAACAGAAGTAATTTATTTTTATTTTTCTAAATTAAATGAAGAAAAGATATAAGATTAGTAAACTCAAAACTGTAATTCAAAATACCGCGGTCATTTTCCATGATTTATTTTTGACGATTTATGCAAAAAAGAATTACAAAATGTTTCAAGTCAAAATAACTGCATCAGAAACGTAATTTTGAGAATTTGCGTATTAGAGCAGTTTTTGTAGTAGATAGATTATGTGCTTAACTTAATTAATTTAACACCAATTTACTAAAATAACTGAAGAACTGACAGAAAACCCACCTGTGACAGCACAGCGGGAAACGACGCTATTCAAATGTATGTCTACAATTTAAAATAAAGACAATAAAACTGTTTCTTTCTCATTCATCGTACACAATTAATAACCACTGTCACCAGTATGTCACGCAACACATGAATGTGATTGTCTTTTTCTATCAATAGCTAATTCACGTTCATCGATAACATAACCACACACAAAAAAAGTTGTCTGTACTTTTCATGCGACATATGTTATCCGTAGTATTTTTGTCTCCTGATCACGAATCTGATGTCAGAATTGAGCTATCACATCACAAGAATTGCCTAACCTCAAAAAACAGGTCATAAATAGCAAAAATTTACGAAAAAGTGCTAGGAAAAGTATAACAAATTTTTTTTTTCTATATGCAAATGTTCATTTATATGGATAAGACCTCGCCGAACGTGAATCTGCTGTTAGAATTGATGGTTCTTTTTCTAACCTAAAATAACGAGTCAATTGATGTCAGATATCACGAATTTTCAAAAAATAACATTCGCGCCAAATTTGGTATACAGGGGTTTTTGGGGTACCCCCGTATACCAAATTTAGCGCGAATGGGTTGTTTTTTGAAAATTTGGTTGATCACCTTAGATCCCCCATCTTGAATTTTGCAAAATTGACCTCGGATCTGACCTTAATTTACTAGTTTTTTTGAGGATAGAAAAAGAACCATCAATTTTGACCGCAGTTTCACGTTCGGCAGGGTCTTATACATATAAATGAACATTTGAATGTAGAAAAAAAAATTTGTAGTACTTTTCCTAGCACTTTCGTGAATTTTTACTATTTTTGACCAGTTTTTTGAGGTTAGGAAATTTCTGTGATATGATAAACTAAAACCGCTGTATCTTTTCCACTGCGTCACAAGCAATATTCGTATGAATTAAGACGAAAAATCCTAGTCAAATTAGTTACTGTTTTCATATAATTGAAATGTCATCTTGACAATTCCCAAATCTGGATTTCTGTCAAATTTTAATACTGGTGGTACTAGATATGAAAATATGCCAAAAAATCGATATTTCAACGCTTAGAAAATATATATAACAGTTAGTACGGAGACGCGATCAAAACAACTGTCAAATTTTTAATCTGAGTGTCAGTTCTGTTTTTAAACGCGCTAGTCAAAGTATAGTCTAAAATTAATACCCAACAAACGTCCTCCATTTTCTTCCACTCTAATACACATAAAATATTGGAACGGTTGTCTGTGATAGATTGAGACTATGAAGACATTTATACCATCATTGTATCTCTTTGTAGCACTTTTAATAATGAATACATGTTTGCAACGACTGTCTGATATTATGACACACGCGTGACGTAATGGCAATCTTAAAACGGTTCTACTATAGCTCAATTCTGACACCGAATTCTGTCTTGCTTTACATCATTTCAAATATTGAAAATACATTACTTAATACCCTTAGCCCACAGAAAGTGGAGGTAACCGTATTTTTTGACAGTGCATTATTTTACATTGGTATTTTTACGAATTGGCTGTTATCACTACCAATTTAAATTCAGTAACATAATGAGATATGGCGTATATATTAGCAAAAATTATACTTTATTGTTAGATAAAAAATGCAGATCCAGACCTTGTAGTGAACAAGAGTTATGATTAAATAAAAAACAAATGCTTTAAGTCTTATATTAATATAATTAGTAATGGAAAGTATCTATTAAGCAGTATCAGTGTTCACGATCCCCGATGGTTTGTTTGAATAATGTTTACATTAAAATCTCGAGTAGCTCATACAACATTAGCATAATTATATTTGTTCACATGGAGTTTGCCAAAATTTACATTGACTGTCAAAGGTGTGTATTTGTTATTCGCAATTACCGAAATCTCCCACTGCCCCATTTTTTTGTCCAAAACACGTTGTGGGTATGGTGATTTACCCACTATACGTTTAGAGTTTTTCTTTGAACACTGGGTAAGGCAAATTAACCAGAACGCGTTGCGGGTAAAATATATCACCCACAAGGCGAAATAAGTGTTCGGCTGCTTTTGTTTTGCTTTGCTTGTTGCGCTTTACCGAGAACGTGTTCTGAAAAATAATATTCTTTATTTAAATGTAGGTATCATCACAGGGTGATTCAGGTTTAATCTGGTTAACTTCAGGAATCGATAGAACAGGTTATAATAATGTTTATCCACGACAATTGTATAATGTACCCATTATACGTCTGTTTGCTCGACCTTATTAATACCCATTAATCACGGCAGTGATTAATGAGTCATTAATCACTACTGTCAGATGCTTCCTTGATTTAGCTATAATATTATATTGTTCTGCTACAAACAGTCGGTTTTTTTAAATTTTATCGTGTAAACCACTAAATATTTTCAATTCAGTGCTGTACATATAAAAAAAAAATTAAAAAAGTGAATTTTCCTAGACCAGATTCGAACCCGGGACCAGCGGTTGGAAGGGAAGGAGTATCTACACTGAGCCATCAGCGACTTCGTTTGTGCGTGTCGTATATCTGTTGCTTAACATACCATGTTTTTCGAAACATTTCATAAATCTAAGTAGCTTTTAAAACAAAACAAATTTGACTCAAACCTGTCAACATTATTGTTTGTGTGCATAGATTTCTCAGTGTTTTGATATTTTGTGTTAAATTGTGTTAAAAAACGAACTAAAAACAAAAAAAACTCCAACAAAAATATTTAGTAGTCGTGGATATAGTATTCTACTCCCGTATAATGGCTATTATCCACTCGGTGATTTAGGCCACTCGCCTGCGGCTCGTGGCCGTAAACTTCACCTCGTGAATAATACCCATCATTATACGCTCGTTGAATAATATACTATTATTCATGGTATAAACTTATTTCTTCAATCACACCGTTTCGGAGGTAGAGGGCGTTGAAGTAGGAATGATTTTCTCTGATATCATGAATGAACATTATTTTAACCTGTTCCATCAATTCCTGAAGCTATCCAGATTAAACCTGAATCACCCTGTATATGTTATTATATCATAAACAAAAACACACAAAGAAATCTAAAAATAGAGAAACGAACTAAAACAACAAACTTTATTTGTTTTTACTTACAGGAGTTGCTTTTGTGACATTTTAATTACATTTTATATTTCATTTTATGCACACACATGCCTTCGTTTGACATCCTTTCAAGCAATTACATCGAATAAATCCTTACACACGGATACATCAACGAGGCGTAACGTTAGTCTGACTAGCATAAGTTGTGCAAAAATTTTGCACCCGTGTTGCGCGAATTTAAATAAAAAGCGTAGTGCCATTCACAAAGTGTGCGAAGAAGGCGCAACTATTAATTATAATGCCACGTCTATTGTTTTGTGGTTAAACTATTATGAAACACTGCAAATACTTATAATAATATATTGCAATTAAAAAAATAAAATGCAATGAACTTAATAAACTACACCTTAAGTTACACGATTTTTATGCATGTTATGTAGAAGGTTTAAATTTTGACGTAACTATTAGCGCAAGTAAAAGGTGCAAGGGAAGTGCATTTTTTGTGAATACGTTTACACGGTTGCAAAACTCCTTAGTCCGACTAACGCCTTACGCCCCTTTCGTGAATCCGGCTGTTAGAATTTACGAGAACCACTATAACATGAGAATTCACTAGCACTTACTTACTGAGTATATCTTACCACTAGCATCTCGTTAAAATTAATAACAAGCATGTTCGGGGCAACACCCAATAGCCAGAATACGACGTGGGCAAAAGAAATGCTCCACAAGGCAAAACAAAAGCGTGCGAACACTTATTTGACATTGTGGTTGACATACTTTACCCACAATGCCTTCTGGTTAATTTGCTTTACTCACTGTTCAAAGAAAATGTTTCTAAACGCGTCTTAGGCAAATTACTTTATCCATAACACTTTTCGGACAAAAAAATTGCGCGGTGGGCAATTTCGGTTATTGCAAATAACATATTCACTGGCAAACATATAAGGCCTGTTTGCAACCAGTTTGCAAACAAATCGCAAACGGGTTGCAGGTAGTTACACATTCATGTCCATAAATACGAATTTCTGCATTTGGTGTTTTTTGCCAGAAAGTTCAATCGCTGTTCTGCATATCGTCTTCCAAAATTGATAAAAAATTTTCTTGCACTACCCATATTGTTCGAGGTATCTTTCAAAACGAACTAACAAGTGGATTTAGAAACTTTTGTTGCAAGTTAACTATCATTTTTTCCACACATACTTTGTTTTATTTCTATAGTTAATTGAACATTTCACAAAACTTTCTTTTTCCAATATTACCGTATCACTACATAAATGAGACAAAATTGAATGTTCCAATCAACTACACCCAATCGACATTCCGTGAACATATTTTTTAAAGTTACCAACAGCCGATGAAAATTTTCTTGAGCTCAGTGTGAACAAAGATGAACTAACATTTTGTAAACAGGCCAATCACGAACTGTTCGGAAGCACACAAAAATTTGATTTTTTGTAGACGTGCATGTTGATCTGGTCGTGATTTGTTTTCTGTGGATATGCTTCAGCTTTAGATGCAAAATTTTTGGTTGTCATTTAGGCATTGTGGAAATTTTTGAGTTTATTTGTAAAATATTATGTTTACACAAAAAGGGCGTTATGAACAGGAATATATGGTTTTAGGTTTTAGAGGAATTAATGGATGGCGATATAATAGTATTCGAGAAAGAAGAAAGGGAGGAGCTTTCAGACCTGCCGACATGTATAGACTATTTTAAGGACCTATTTTATCGAGTAGAGGTAACGTTTGTTGACAAATGCATACCTAACGATCAGGGCTTCACCATGGAACTGTCGCAGAGAATGACTTACGATCAGTTCGCTAGGGCTGTGGCTCAGAGGGTCGGGACGGACCCGTATTTATTACAATTCTTTAAATGTCAAAGGTACTAATTTCTAATAGATCACTCTTGACGTTCGTTCTGTCAGTCGTACTCACTAATTCTTTCTTTCAGTTATAAAGATAGCCCCGGCCACCCGTTGAGGTGTACATTCGAGGGTACCTTAAAAGACTTATTAGTTTTTTCGAAGCCAAAAGTTCCCAAGAAGATATTTTATCAGCAACTTAGTATTCGTGTTAATGAATTAGAGAATAAGAAACAGTTTAAGTGTATCTACGTCGGTCCTAAGATGAAGGACGAAAAGGAGCTTATACTTTATCCTAATAAGGGTGGCACGGTAGCAGATCTGTTGGAGGAGGCGAAGAAGCAGATCGAGTTCGGAGAAGGCAGCACGGGAAAACTTAGGTATGTCAATAACCGTAATAATGTATTACTGTGTCTGTCAAAAAAGTTTGCAATATACGAAAACAATTTTACTACCAAAATTTCCGACAACATTTTTTTGGCAACCATTTCTGTACCTGTAAAATCGTCAACATTTTTTAACAGCATGATAATATAACTCTTTACGAAGAAAATAAACTGAAAATTGTTACTGTAGGTCTATCCGCTGAGAAGATCTAGCCAATTTTCGAGAGCGCCTTTTTTTCAAAAAATCGATATATCGAAAAATAATTAATATTTTTAAAATTTTCAACAATTTACTTGCTTGCCACAGGCTATGCTTGCAGTAAATAGCAAATATGGCCACGTAAATGTAAACGAGTTATAGAAGAAGGGAAGAGAAGATTTTTAACGGTTTTTTTTAACCATGTTCGCCGTTTTGGATCGAGTTTAAAGAACAAGAAACTCAATTTAAAATTAAATTTTCTATATGGTCATATTTTTTTTGTCCAGGTAATAATTTCTGTAAGCATTTCTCTATAATGCTTGGACTATTTAGGCATGTTTAACAATGGGTATAACTGTACAGGGTGTCTGGAATTTCGAAGCTGGATATACTGGTGGCCAAAATAAGTCGATTGAGCCAAATATGCCTTATGCAAATGTTGCTGGTTTGAATGATACAGGGCGTTCAATGTTTGAATTTTATTTTGAAATTTCTCGATTTTGAAAACTGTCGGAGTATGAAAAAAAAAATTGGCACTGTTATGTTTTTGGACATGATAAATAAGAATTTTTGTCAGTTATGCCCTAATGTTTTGATAAATAGGGGAAAATTTTGTTGCCTTTACAGTTACAGACAGTGTGTATTGAAAATATGAAAAAACGACCTTCGTTTCATAAAAGACTACCTCTTGTTCGTTTTCGATATCTCGTTGATTATCGAGATATATGCATATGCATTTCGTTTTTAAGCAACTTTTAATCCTTAAATTAAGCTAATGTGACTTGAACTAGGGTTTATCCAAGTCGATACGATGGATAGGCCAATCAGAACCATTGCCCTGGCTGCCTAGATCCCCAGATTTAAAATCTTTGGATTTTTACTTCTGAGGTGATTTGAAAAGACGTGTTTCCGCAACTCCTGTGGCAAGTGAAAAGGAACCGTGGCATAAAATTTTCCACAAAGTCGGGAAATAAAAAATAATATTCAAATGATTTGGAGTGTCATAGCCATCTCTAATTAGATGTGCTCGTGAGTGTATTAGGCGAGACGGTGCTCATTTTGAATAATTTTTATAGTAATTAGTAATTTTGAGACCGAAGTAGATATTTTTTAAATTTCCAAATTTTTCTGTTTTGTTTGTTAACTTAACCTCCATTATTCATGATAGCGGCGCCGCAGTTCTCAATATAGCGTATTATTTGAAATTCGCATATGTGACATACGATGTATATTTGAAGCTTAGGCATTGTACATAACATGAAAAAAGAAGACAAACAAAATGAAGAAGAATAATTTATTGAAGTAAATAATTGACATATTTGCACATATCGACGTTTATTTTTCTTGTAAATATAACATCTTTAGAATATAAATAATCTACAATACAAATTCGTATATGAAGCACATATAAATATTTTTGATTTTCTTTGGAAGATATTAAATCTTTGCTAAAAGTATCACCAATTGAAAATATAACAGTGAAATTGCCTAAATAATCTATGCGCCTGACATATTTACGTCATAACGATGCATCTCCTTTCCCTGCTTTGCTTTCATTTTACTTCTATGTTCTTGATCACTAGCACCTCGTGTGGTGCATAGACAATGTTGATATTGCACAGTTCGCATACAAGCCAATCCAATCAGTTTTTCGTCAACTATATTATTCAAGGAAAGAATTTGAGTGCACTCCCTGCAAATCATTTGTTTATCTAAAGTTTGAATATGCACAATTCTTCGTCCATCGATTTTGGATTTGTTCTTTACTTCTTTGAGGTTAGAGTTCTCTTCAGATTGCCTTGGACTTTTGTTTTGCTTACATCCGTAAACGCTTCGTATGTTTCTGCCTGCACTCGCTTGACGAACTCTTAAATGTTATACATTTTCAGTTAACGCGTTTTCCTTTCCAGAAAAATTTCTTTATTGACTTGTCTCTCACGGCGAAAACTATTTCCACCATCCAAACAAACAGAATGATCTAACACGAGTGAGCGAACGCCGAGCCGAGCGCTTCAGCCAAGTGCCAAATCTAAAAACTTACTACTTTAGTCACTAGCGAATCTACAGAAACTCTCATTTGACTTTAGACGTACCCGATAAACCTCCTTAAGGATTAAAAGTTGCTTAAAAAAACGAAATGTATTGAAATTTGTATATGCAAATATCTCGATAACCAAGGGAGATATCGAAAACAACCAAGGGTAATTTTTTTATGAAACGAAGGATGTTCTTTCATATTTTCAATACATAATGTCCGTAATTCTAAAGGCAAACAAAATTTTCCCCTATTTATCAAAGGGATAGGACATAACTGACGCCCTATACAAGCAACGCCAAAATTAATTAAAAATTCTTATTTTTCATGTCAAAAAACATAATAGTGACAATTTTGCAGTTTTCAAAATTAAGAAATTTCAAAATAAAATTCAAACATTGAATGCTCTTGAAACCAGTAACATTTGCATAAGGCATATTTGGCTCAATCAGTTATTTCTGCGGTCAGTATCTTTTGTTCATAGGAATTGATTTAAATATTATAACATAACCTATAATTGTTTTGTGTTTGAATATCGGATAGTTTCTAATTTACTATAAATTTGTTAAAAAATGATGAAGCGCTCAGAAACAAAAAAAGATGAGTCTCTGCTTGTTTAATGCATACATATTATTTACCTAATAGGTATGTGTAATAAAGTTCATATTTTTTTGTTTGGGCGTTATTTCGATTAACCGTGTTTTCAATTATCAGCAACGGTTCGGTCCCGGCCGGCCTGGATAATCGAGGTTCTACTGTAATATGAGGCTACCTTTGACCTTTAGAAACACATGTCATAGGTTTGTTTTCTCAAATTCAGTTGTGAAAACCAATTTTTTTTTGTAATTTTCAGTCTTTGCTGTTGGATATGCCATTACAGCATGCAATGTTGTCAAATCTTTCATTTCTTGATTCGTATAAGTGTATTTTCATATCACACGATAATTTAACAGTTAACACACACAAACACACTGCACTGAAAAAACTTGTACTTCATATAGAAAATTGAGAAATTATCTACCATATTGCAAAAATTTCCTAAACTGTTAAACTGAAAACTAGATGGATGTCTTTGTTTTGGACTAACATTGATCCTTTATTTTTTGCCTAGAAATTATTATTATTTCCATTTTTTAATCTTTGCATAACCAAATTGAAGTATTACAATACTCCTATTTGCTTTGGTTTTATTCATGAAAAATTCCAAATCTCTTTCTAAAAATCAGCTGTAACTCCATTATTTGCAGTCTAATTGAAAACATTTCCTCATGTAATTTGTTTATTACGATTATTTATTTTTAAATTAAAAAAAATAGAAAAAAACTAATTACATCAGTAAAGATAACACAAAAATTACATTCTAATGGTTGAAGCATTTTTTCTGTCAGGCTCTGTGTACAAAACGAAGGTACAGCTAAATTTTAAAAAGTGACTACCACTTTAAACCTCTTTTCTATGTTTGGTCAGGAATTGTACTTTTAATTTTCTTATGACTTAATGAAAATAAAAGAGCTTAAAAGTATTGCAAAAATAGTAAGCGGAAATTTGTAATATTACGTTGTCGAGCAGGAATGAAAACAGAACTTTGCGTTGTCTGTTGCAGGTTAACAGAAGTTAATTGTAACAAAGTATCGATGGGTCCAAAAGAGGATGTTCCCTTAGAGACATTAGGCGTGACGTCGGCAAAGATTTACAGGGTCGAGGAGATCCCTCGGGAAGAGTTACACCTCGGAGACGACGAGTTGCTCGTCTCCTGTGCGCACTTCCATAAGGAGGTATTCTCCACCTTCGGTATCCCCTTCCTGATTAAAATTAAACAGGGAGAACCTTTCAGCAAAGTTAAAGGTACGTTTTCATGAATTTTTTTAAATTGTGTTTAGTACAAACAACTCTGTTGCTTCCTTAGAACGAATACAAAAGAAATTGGCTGTGCCTGAGAAAGAGTGGGAGAAATTCAAGTTTGCAATAGTTTCAATGGGTCGACCTCAGGTAATTCAGGAAGATGAATATGTAGTAAACTTAGCTGATTTTAGGCCTCTTCCTAATCAAAGTGAGTATTTTGTTGTTTTTTTTTTGTTAGTTAGAGTCGTAAGCATTTTTTCAAACATGAAGTTTATATCGTAAAGCTGTTCACATGTGGATTAAAAATTTGAAAGCATGTGACAGAACATAAAATTATTTGGTTTCTTGTCTGTTTTTAAAAATTTTTATGAAGCAGATTGCTGCTTATGTGCTTTCAGGTTTGAATGCAATTCAGATCAAGAAATAGAATGAATTAGAGGCAGTTATAATACAAATTGGTTTTAACATGAACAGGGTGTTCCTTAATGATACGCGAATATTTAAGGGTGTGATTCTACATCGAGGGTCAAAACGCAGGACCTTGTTAGTGACAATTTTGAAATTTTACAGGAATACTGAGAAATTCAAGGTCATAATTTTAAAATGTGGGCGTATGTAAATACAAGGTTACGTTTTCTGCAATTTACGGCCAAAATTGAAAACTGTTTAATTTGTAACTTGATCAACAAATTGAGCCACCTATTCTCTGCAATATTCTATAATAAAACGTATTTTCCCCACAAATGTCAGTTATGAAGTCCTACATTTTGATTCTCGACATGGAAAATTAATGATAGTTTACTTTATAAACTATGGTCCAAAAATGTTCCGTACCGAAAATATGGACTGTTAAATTTTTAGAGAAAACAAGGAAATTAATTTTTTCGAAACCGCTTGACTTATTTCAAAATGTCAGAAATGCAAGTGACACATTCCGAACAACTAGGTTTATTGCAAAATTGTATTCTTCAATAATTACATTAATTAGTTACAGACAATACAACGGGTTTTATTTTTTTTTTCAAAAATGACGCATCGCAGAACAAAAACACAAGAATGCTCTTATCTTTCGAATTGAACAGAGATTTCAAAAATAATTTTATTTGGGAAAAGAACCATTTGCGTACCATTTTTTTTTTTAAATATCAGTCATTACTCGTACGCATGCCACTGTTAGAGCTAAAAATTATGTTTGTATTGAAAACTTGGGCCTTTATGAACTATCACTATGTACTAAATGTCACTGAAATATTTCAAGTGGTTTCGAAAATATTAATTTCCTTCTTTTTCCAAAAATTTTAACATGCATTTTTCGTAACGGGTAAGGCAATCACATTTACATTGGAGGCAATGATTAACACAAAACACACTAAACACAGAGGATTGTCCAATGGAATACATATTACATTTCTTTACAATCTGTTTTTTTTTCAGTATACAAGAAAATCATTTTTGTACATTTTTACTTACAAAATAATTATACTCTGAATTTTTGTCACATCCTATATTGAAAAAAGTATTTTTTTTTTTATTGAAAGTCCTTTTAAAAATATAGGGTCTTTAGTAATCTACTTTCATTCAGAGATAATGAAAATAAAGTTAATAAAATACAAAAAGTTCCAATGATTTATTTTTTTATTTATTTTTAAGTAAATTAATTTACCTTACAATGCTAACATAAACACAAAGTTTTTTACTCAGCTAACAAAAGCTTATTATATTAATCAAATTTATAATATGTGTTCAAAATGACCACCTTTGTTTTCCAAATATAAATTTTCTGTGAGTTTCATGCACTCAAAAACATGTTCAACTTCATTTGGTATTATGTTGTTTATTTCATGATCAACTCCTGCTTTTCGTTCTTCAAGTGTGTGGAGAGGATTTTTAAATATTTTAGATGTCAAATCAGATAAAAATCTAAAGGTATGAGATCAGGGTTTCGAGCAGGCCACAAGCCTCTAGTAAGTAATCTATCACCATAAAATTCCTGAAGGTATCTTATAGTTTCTGCTGCAATATGTACCGTGGCTCCATCTTATTAAAAACACCCGAGCCGCAGTTCATCGTCATGCATTAATTCCAGGGCTTGTTGTAAAATGTTACTGTATTCTCAATTTGTTACTTCTCAAAAAGAAATTGGGCGTAGTATCCGCCTTCCTGGAACTGCTACCCAGATAACCTACAGTCTGTCACATACTACATGATGAATTAATAATATGTCCAATCCCCTCCATTATTAATAATTGCCTGGCATCTCCGAGATACACTTTCTACTAATTGTATAGCATACTCTTGTGTCAAAGACCTCCATGTCAATCGAATCTGTCGAAATAACTGCTTAACGGTCCAGATCTTCTTCCCTCGGAGCTTCAATTTCATGAGCGCCCACACATTTTCTATTGAATTTGCATCTGGCGACTGTGACAGCCAATCCAGTACATTGTCAATTTCTTGCTTCCACCCAGTGAAAGACGACTCTGATGTTTTGGGTCATTGTCTTCTTGCAGTAGCCAATTTTAATTTTTCCGCATAAACCACCTTTCGGCAGATGGTAATAAAGCCCTCTGATATATTTTGACCATTTTGGCAGCGTTCAAATTTTCTGTGAAGATGTGCAAATTACCAAATCCCTGTTTTGAGAGACAGTCCCAGATGTGCACCTTTACCGGGTTTTTAACGGTCCACTGAATGAGTCTATTGGCGTGGGTAGATCAGGTATGGGTGATAGAAGAACGTGTCTAAAAAGAAGCTTTGTCCGAAAAAATTACGTTGTCCCAATCAGGGTCCAAATTTTCTTTTGCCCAATTAAGTCTTTTTTCCATGTGTTTTTCAGACGGTAGCGGTTTTTTCACTATGCTTCGAAATTTGACTTCATAAGCCAGTAAGCGCCTTCTTATAGTGTCACACGACACATTTAGACCCTTTTTACGCAAAATTGTCTGCCCCCTATGCAATGGTAGACAAGGATTCTGCTGAAACGCCTGCAAAATCACTCTGTCCTCCTTTTTCGTGGTTTTTTGTATAGAGCCACAATCCGGTAGGTCATCGACGTTTTTTATGTCAGAATAACATTTCATCCACTCATTTATAAATGTCTTCGACTTTTTCATGTACTTAGCGGACTCTCCGAGCTCCTTTCGGATGTAAACACAGAAACAGGGCTAACGTGATGCATACGCAGCAGACATGGTGAAATACATTATTCTGCGACCAAGGTCAAACGACAACATCAATTGTTTTTTAACTTCAACTTTAGGTTAAAAAAATGTACATAATTCAAACTATATTGTTTATCGCAGTACCTGTTTGAGTAGTTAACTGTAACATATGTTTCTCAGGAGATCAAACTATTCGTTGTCGAATATCTTCAATATTTTCTGTGAAAATGGTAGGTCTGCCTGCAACTTGCCCTTGCAACGTTGTTATGTAGTGAACTAAAAATGTGTACGTACATGGAAGAAAAATCAATAATGTTAAACTTTTACAGCATTTGAGAATTTTTTTATTTATGCATATTCTGTCTGTGTCGATATTATTATTTTTTTATTTATACTGTCACATATTTTGGAAATTTGACCTTTTAAAAGCACCCTATACAACAAATCTTTAAAATATTTCAGTCATATCAAATTTGATAGTGTGAATGTTACTATAAAAAAAATTATGGAATTTAATTTAATTTTTAATGTCAAAGCAATTGACATTTTTATAATATTTACGAAACTGTTTTTGGAACGTGATTTCCATAGGAATCGTCGTAATATTGAATTACACAATATGTTATTTCTTATGGTGTAATATGTTATGGTGTTTTAGATATAAATATATTTTTGTCAGAGATTAATTTCAATGGGAATAACATTTGATATAAAAATTAGCTAAATTTAATGCTTCTAGTGTTTTTATCAATTCTGTTCCGATCTCAAATTAAATGGAATTCAATTTGATACTAATCCATGGAACTTTAAGTTTTCAGAATAGTCTCATAAAAATTCATGTAAATATTTATATCCAATTTTGAGATTTTATAACTATGCCAAAAATATCACTTCAAATTTTGTTCTTTATATTTTAAATATAAAACAAATTTTATAGTGAGTGTTCATTTTTTAATGCTCAAATTAAGACAAAGACAATTTGATGACAAAAACATGCCAAAGGATTTTTTTTAAATTTGCTGTTATTGATTAAAAACTAAAAATTTTGATTTTTGTATATAACGAGCGTTCAAATAAAAACGTGGTCAAGTTGGTTCTGAAAATTTGGACGTAGGGGTAGCATATAGCAAATGAACTTAAACGTCATCTGTCAAAGCGCTATATCGCCGCTATCAATTTGAATATTTTCGTTTTAAAAAGCGTTTAAAATGGTGTTTTCTCAAGAACAAAAAGTGTTTATCATAGAGTCCTACTTTAGAAATGGACGCAAGATTGATGAAATATGGAAGTATTTTATTGAGGAATGTTTCATAGAATTTCAAAATCAATTTCCCGGCGTTGTTGAGTACAAAATTTTTCAAAGTGGAGTTCAGCGTTGTGCCAATGTTTTTCGTGAAACGGGCAGTGTAACAAGAAAAGAAGGAAGCGGCCGACATAAAAAGCGGACTGAAGAATTAAAAGAAAATGTGCAACAAATAATGGAAAATGCGCCAAGAACTTCTGTACGTGTTTTATCACAAATGGTGGGAGTATCAGTCGGTACCTGCCACACAGTGTTAAAAAAAGATTTGCGTTTGTTCTCCTATCGTTTAACTTGTCAGCAAGAACTTCATGAAGTTGATTTTCCGCGACGGGCTGTATTTTGTGAAAGGTTTTTAAACAACTACGGTGAACTTCATAATGTCACCTTTTTTTCTGATGAAGCCTGGTTTCATTTAAGTGGTTACGTAAACTCACAGAATATGAGAATGTGGTCTTCTGAAAAACCAGATAACTTTTTTTGGTGTGCTCTCAATCGAAGGAGGATTTATGGACCTATTTTTTTTAATGGTACTCTTACTGCGCAAAGGTATAGAGAAGAAATTATCGCTCCTTTTGCTAACTAGCTGGAAGAAAACGAAATTACAAACTTTTACTTTCAACAAGATGGCGCAAGGGCACATACGGCAGGCGAGACGATGAATATGTTGAGGGAAGTTTTCCAAAATCGACTAATAAGTCTCAATGCTGAACATAAATTTCCACCGAGGTCATGTGGTATTACGCC